TGAGGCAGTATCACTACAGAAGTAGATTGCCCCATCTTCCTTCCAAGGAGTGGCTGGTGGGTTTGAACTGCCAGCCTTCTGGTTAGCAGTCAAGTGCCTCAGGCACTACGCTACCAGAGCTCCCTCCCTATAGGATTAGGAAATGGTAATAAGAACCTTAGGCTGGCCACATGCTGGCCCTGCTTACCTCCCTGGCTTGATTTTTCACATCTCACTTGCCAAACATGCTAAGAGACATTTTGCCTCTGCCTAGAGTGCAATAAGGAGCTCTGGTGGTGCAGTGCCTAAGATATTTGACTGCTAACCAGAAAGTGGGCAGTTCAAGTCCACCAGCCACTCCACAGAAGGAAGACTGGGCAATCTACTTTTGTAAAGATTTACTGCTTTGGAAACCCAAAGGGGTTCATTACGCATTGGAATCAATTCAGTGGCAGTGAGTTTGGCTCTGGTTAGAGTGCAAGTATTCCCTTACCTCATCTATTCAGTCTCTTCATTCACGTTTGTTTTAGAGTCATCCACTGATGGGAGCTCTGGTAGCATAGTGCCTAAGGCACTTGACTGCTAACCAGAAGGCTGGTGGTTCAAACCCACCAGCCACTCCTCAGAAGGAGGATGAGGCAAACTACTTCCGTAGTGATACTGCCTCAGCAACCCAAGGAGGGGTCACTGTGAGTCGAGTCCAACTCAATGGCACACAACAACAACAACAACAACAACTGATGGTATCTTCTCCCTAACCCCCAAACTCTAAGAACATCTGAGCAAATTTTAAAATAGGAGAAAAGGACCTTGGAGATAATCCAGCCTAACTCCCTTATTTTTCCAATGAGAAAATTAAGATCTAGAGGAATTAAGAGATTTTCCTAAGGTCACACAACCCAGCAAACAAGCTGGAACCAGAACCCAAATCTCTGCTGATTCTACCCAGCAGAGCATCCTTTTCACCATCCTCAAGTACAACTCATTGGCTATCTATTAAGATGTCGATTCATTTTCGATTTTACATTTAAGTTCAGAGGTCATCTTTGTTTGCTAATCCTGTCTTTTCCCTCCTTTACTGCTTACTATCAAAGTTGGTGCAGGGAGAGGAACTGAGGGCAAGAGATTCTTTACAAGGGCAAGCCGTTTCTTTACAACCACAAAAGCGGTACAGCTATAGGTGTATTACAAAATTGTCAAATACAAATTTGTCAAGTTAGTCAAATACAAAGATAATGAGACAACTTATTAAAAGGTCCGTCTTACCAAAGGGAAATTCCGGGAGATCAATAAACCCCTGTTTGCCACAGTCGGGAGTGTGATAGGCCAAGGGCTGGGTCATCAGGTGGGCTTTCAATCCAGCGGCCTCCAAGCCTTCTTTCATGAGTTTCACTGTTTGTAAACTAATTGTGGGGTCAAAATGGCAATTCACACCAACGATGGAAGCACCTGCAAACAGAAAGAACATTTTATCTTTAGAGATTCAACTAGATTCTTATAGATCCAACTCTCCTCTCTGTCACTCTCACTGCCATCGAGTCAATTCCAACTCATAGTGACCCCTACCAGGTTTCTAAGGCTGTAAATCTTTATGGAAGCATACTGCCTCATCTTTCTTCTGTGGAGCGTCTGGTGGGTTCAAACCACCTACCTTTTGGTTAGCAGCCAAATGCCCTAACCACTATACCACCAGAGCTCCTCCTTCTCTTAATTAGCAAGATTTTATATGGAACAATGAATTAGAAGTACATTATTTGATGAGACAAAGTATATGTGAACTGCTGGATGGAAAGTGAATTTGCTCTGTAAATCTTCACCCAAATCACACACACACACACACACACAAAAAGAAGTACATCATTTGGCCCTCACTATCCATAAACTTCTTTTACCTTTGGGCAGGAATGATTACTAACAGCCAGAAAGTGCTTTCTTTGAAAAGTGCTTTGAAGAATCTGGTATAATTGAAGTGTCATTTATACACACGTGGCTGCCCATCTTTTACAAAAAATAAAAGACATTAGAGTTTTTAATTTTCTTTCACTTCAAATTTTAGGAGTCAGTTTTTCAAAGTTTGACATCATGTCAACAAACAGAGTAATTTTTCAATACTCCCAGCTGCCAGATTACACCTGTGGTTATCATACTGCTCATTTGAGGTATAAATAAATGTTCCCTTTTCCCAGACCACCTCACCATTTCTAACCTTCTTGTGCACAGCAGAATATAATTCAGGAAAAGGAGGTTTTCCAGAAACCTGTTTTCTAGAAGGAATTTTGTGTCTAAGAATAGTAATTTTGGGGAAAAAAAAAATCTGAAAAATCCTTTGACTTCAGCTGCTGAAAGTGGTTAACAGCTTATCAATCATTTTGACAAGTTTTTCATTTAAACTTTAGCCTTCCTAGACTCAAACTATATGGCATAGTCTTCTTCAAGCTTTCTTGTAAAATTTGTCATTTTGAAGTTTGATTAGTGAGAACAAATATGTTTTAGATGTCTCATTTTTTATGAAACTTTCTTCATAGCCATTAAATTCTTAATTGTATTTGGGCCAAAGATGATTTATCATAGTAATCACTGTATATGATTTTGGAAGTTTCTTCTAGAAGATTTGTGGAAGCAACATGACTCTTACTTTTTTTACTCTATCATCTCAAGATGGAGGGATTTCCAAATAGGACTTATTCTTGATGGACTCATGGCCTAATATTTTGTGTCTTGGAAACAGAAGTACCAAGAACAAGGATAGGAGAGATTCTTTCTGTTATGATAAGAGTGACACCACTACCCACATGCCAGGAATAGCAGAGCCAATGCCAGAGGCACTGGCATCCAGTGTTCAGTGGTGGGCACCTCAGTGACCCTCTCTGCTGGGTCTGCAGTTTCCTCTTCATCTGTCTTCCAACCAGGCCTTACTCCCCCCATCATGTCTCAGAAGCAGCTTTTGTCAAGGTCACCCATGACTTCTTGCCAAATCCAGTAGTTGCTTCTCTGTCCTTATCTTACTCACCATCTCAGACACATTCAAGCTGTGGGCCACACCGTCATCAACACTCCTCTTCTCTTGGCTTCTGAGACCACCACTCTCTGAGTGTTGTTCCTACCTCCCTGGCTGCTCCTTTTAAGTGTTATGTTCTGATTCATCCTCAGTGCTGAACTTCTCGATCCTGGAGTGTCCCACAATTCTCACAGAGCCATCTTATCATTTCCATCTACACCTCTGCTTACATTCCAGGGCTTTCAATACTATCTATATCTACATATCTCCCAAATTTCTCTCTAATCTTGACCTTCCCATTAGGTTCCAGGCTTGTGCATTCCACAGCTTATTCAACATCTTCACTTGGCCTCTTTTGGATGTTCTGCTACCAGAGTTTCTCTTTTCTTGTCTTGACTTCATTACACTCATGAATTAATCATACTTTGGTTATTGACTGGATATCTGTTAGATATAAGGCTCTTTGTGAGTGGTTATAGAGAAAGATAGAAGACATAGTTTCTGACATCAAGGATTTTACAATTTAGTACAATGCTTCTCAAAGTTTGCTACATGAAAATAAGTTATATGGTCAATTAAGTTAGGCAGTAGATATACACTATATCTCTTTTTCGAAGAATGATAATACACAGTAAAGATATTTGTTTAACTTGGTTTGACTCAACATTTCCTAGATGTATTTCACTACGTAACCCTATTATCATCATCTTCACAGATTTGTAAATGTTAACTGAGGCTATGAAAAGTTCCAAATGAGTTGTGTATTTAGAAAGTGTTCTAAAAAGATCACTTGGGGGTTGGCGGGGTTATGGAAGGATACATGGAGGTGAATTTGAACTAAACATTGATAGATGAACTAGATCTATGCAACAACTATTAAAGAGCCCTGGTGGCACAATGGCTAAGTACTTGGCTGCTAACTGAATGGTCAGCCGTTCAAACCCACCTAGCGGCGCTGCAAGAGAAAAGACCTGGTGATTTGTTCCTGTAAAGATTTAAACAAAACAAAACAAAACAAAAACTGTTGCTACTGAGTCAATTCTGACTCACAATGACAGAGTAGAACTGCCCCATAGGGTTCTCAAGTCTGTAAGTCTTTACGGAAGCAGACTTCCACATCTTTCTCCCACAGAACACCTGAAGGGTGCGAACCACTGACTTTTGGTTAGTAGCTGAGCACATAACCACTGCACTACCAAAGCTTCTTAGGAAACCCCATGTGGCAGTTCTCCTCTGCCATATAGGGTCTCTATGAGTTGGAAATGATTCAGCATGCAATGATTACAACAATATTACGTGCTAGGCAGAGTACTCATTGCTGACCCATACAGATACAGTTCCTGCCTTTATGAGTCTTACAATCAAGTCAGAGAGACAGATCAAACAGATAATTAAATGAGAAGTGTTATGCAGGATAGAAACAGGATTGTTATGGTTGTTGGCTGTTACTGAGTTGTGGTAACAACTCATGGCAACCCATACACACCACAACAATATAAGCCTAGTCTTGCTGGACTGTTGTGATCCATAGAGTTTTCATTGGCTAATTTTCAGAAGTAGATTTCCAGGCCTTTCTTCCTAGTCTGTCTTAGTCTGGAAGCTCTGCTGAAACCTGTTCAGCATCATAGCAACATGTGTGCCTCCACTGACAGATGGGGGGTGGCTGTCCATGAGGTGCATCAGGCAGGAATCACACCTAGATCTCCTATGTGAGAGGTGAGAATTACACCACTGAACCACTTCTGCCCCCATATAAACAGGTGCAGTGATATAAAACAGTAAGGATGCTGAGGGAAGGGTTAGAGACAGGCCTGTGATCCTGCCAATTAACAGTGGGGATGATGACTGCCTCCTGTGATCTTTTTGAGAGCAATGATCTTGCTTTTTCTTCCCTATATTTATGTTTCCCATCAAATACTAGGATCATGCAACTTCATTCCAAAATCTAAGTAACTGTTATTGTTAACGAAGAGTATGAAGTGGCTTTCTTGAAAAATCAGGAGTTGGCTAAAAGTCAGAAATTAAACAAAGAGTCAACCAAAACCTATTACATAGAATGAATCAGACTTTTCCACAGATGCTGAGCTACTCCTTGGGTTTAAAATGAGGCAGGTTTGAAAAAAGTCTGCGAGTGTTCACAAATTTAAATGAAACCATATTAAGAATGGAAATTATATAAAAAGATAAATTAGATGGTCACTATTTCATATCAAACGATTGTTTGATTTATTAAACCAATTACAAAAAGCAAAGCATATCAGTAATTTATGATAATGGAAAAACTTTGGTAATGAGGGCAACTAACTTTAAAGTTATTAATGTTTTAAGACCTCTAGTTGAAATAAGTTTTTTAAAAATGTATCCTAATGCTCATAAGGAACAAAATCTTTTGATTCACTAAAACGTTCTTCTCATTTCTAGGTGTAAATCTCTGGCACAGTTCTAGTTGCCTCTTCCAAAAGGCTAGCATGTGTGAGTGCATGCATGCGTATGTGTGTGTGGACTGTAACATTCTTTTCTTTGGGCCTCAACAACGATATCATCAATATTCCTAAAGAAGTAAATTTATGGTTTTCCTGTTAACAAAAGAAGTATACACTGATAGGTAGACCAATGTTCATTTGTAAGTTATTTTAAAAGACTCACTAATTGCAAACAGATCAAAATCTATCATCACCTGCTTTAACCAACCGCACTGCACACTCGCCAGGGGTCATTCCATGCAGATCTCCCTCTGGTCCTATGCACATGGTAGCTGCCACTGGTTTACCAGACACTTTCAATGCCTCTACTGCCCATACAGCTTCTTCCACGTGTTCAAAATACTGAAATAAATGAAATCGAGGATACTTTTAGTCTTATTTTTCCCCAATTTGAAAAGGTATTCTATTGTTTAATAACTTAATTATCACTCCATTCTCACTGCTATCGAGTCAGATCTGACTCATAGTGACCCCTCTGGGTTTCCAAGGTGGTATCACTATGGAAGTAGATTGCCCAACCTTCCTTCTGAGGAGTGGCTTGTGAGTTTGCACTGCCAGCCTTCTGGTTAGCAGTCAAATGCCTTAGGCACTCACCACCAGAGCTCCTAATTATCACTGTTGTTGTTGCTATGTGCTGTCGAGTTGGACCCGACTCATAGTGACCCCTCCTTGGGTTTCCGAGGTGGTATCACTACTGAAGTAGATTGCCCAACCTTCCTTCCGAGGAGTGGCTGGTGGGTTTGAACCGCCAGCCTTCTGGTTAGCAGTCAAGTGCCTTAGGCACTATGCTAGCTCTGAGATGTGACACGTTAACAGTTTTTTTTTTAAATGAAACAGAATTGCACAATGATTTATTACTGTGAATTGTAGTCAAAAGGCTTGAAAGGCAGTATATTAGTTTCATTAAATCATATTTGGAAGAAATCCTAAATTGGAAAAGATTTCAGACACTAATTACAATTTCTAGTCATGACTGGCATCTAATCCTACATGGTCTTCATGAAAGCAAAAAGTAGAAAAAATGTCCTAAGCATACTTGTCATATCTTTGATGACTGTTTTACCTCTGCAATCAAGAAATCCACGTTCTTCTTCATGAAGACCTCTAACTGTTGCTGAAATATTTTTTTAACTTCGTTTTCACTCTTGCAGCTGAGGTACGATGGTGTCTGACTCACACCTCCTGCCACCAAAGCATCTCCCTCATCAGCCACTTGCCGGGCAATATCACAAGCAGCTTCGTTGACTTTTTGCCCCTAAAGTAGGTTAATATAGGATACATCTAAATTTTCATTCGAAGTTGAAATAAAATTATTATTCACTTACCCACATCTTAGTTCTTCTATATTTATAATAATGATTTTATTCTAGAAAATGGCAGTTATTGAGTAGTTCAATATTTTACTGAATTGAGCAGCTTGATTAACCAAGTTAATAACAAGGATAATATTAACAAATGTAATTGTAATATTTAGTACATTACATTATACCATAGGTCTGTGAGAGGGTGAAAATCTTTACAAGAAATGATCCACTAAACTGCAGTTACAAGAATACCTACCAAATACTGATGATGATTACTTATATTTATGACTAATGAGATTGAAATTCAATTAAAATGATTACAAAATTCATGAATTTTTATCATCTGTTTTCTCAATTAATGGATAAATGTATAACTAGTAAGGTGTTTTTAAAAATGATTGGACATTAAAAATTAACTCTTGTCCTTGAAAAACCACTACTACAGCCCATAGATATAGCTGAGTTAGGGATTATTCCAAGTTCACTGGCTTCTTACATCTATAATCTTTCCTCTACACCACGCTGCATTAACACAAACCTATAAGGATGTAAGAATTTGTGATGATGCCCACTTTATCAGCAACTCAGGCAAAAAACAGGGAGAATCATTCATCATTAAGTATTTCTTCTTTAATCTGCTTCATTAAATGTTCTTTTTGTTAATTCTGGGGACTCCAGCTAAAGTCTAAGGATGTTATTCATACATACCTCATTCCTCAATTATTTCCAAAACAAACAAAAAACAACCTCTGAAGAGGCTCTTCAACATCTTTCTCTACAAGAACCCTGGTTATGAAATGTGTCTACCATGCTCATCTAAAGAGTTCCATGGATAGTTTTACTCACAGATATTTTCTCTGCAACATAGTTTCCCCTGTTCTCCAGCTTGTCTTCACTAGCATAAAAGGTGAAGGTCTGCATGATGTTCGATCCAGCTCTGAGGAACTCTCGATGAAGCTGGCGGACTGGGAGAGTGAAGGAGGAAATGCATGAATCTCTATCAGTTTATTAACTCAGTGTTTTCAAAAGGCACACAGAGAAATGAATGTGAAAGTAACAGCTTAAATGTATAGTTGTTTGGCACTGACACATCCTGGGGTTAATGTGAGGTGGATCTGGAGCCTCTCAGCAACACCCCCAAACTTGCTATGGTTGAGTGGCTGGATGGTCAGAAGGGATGCTCATGTTCTTATATTTGCTCATCATTTATTGACTGTTTTTTATGGTAGGCACTCATGGATACAAAGATGAACAATTTATTGCCCCATCCTTGGAGAAATTTACAGTCCATCAGAGTATAACTGACTACAACATGGCATAGTTGGTCTATGCAAGAAGAAGAGATTATTTCTCCCATGGGTGTGAGGTGATGGGAAGAGGGAGGTCCTACTTTGAGTTGCACTTTGCAGATTCAATGCTTTTCCCAGGCAGTGAAGGTAGAGAAGGGCATCCCTTGCTAAGGAAACTTCCTGAGCAAAGACATATAGGCCGGAGCATGTTTGGTATTGGGGGGATGACAAGTAATCTGAGAGGCTGGAATTGAGGTTCTGCTGAAGTGGTAGGAAATGCAGTTAGAAAGGTAGTATCAGGGAACCTCTTGAGGGTCCATAGCAATTCCACCTATCACCCAAATTAGAAAAGCAAACAAATCATTTTCATAAACATCATGGAAACTGACCACTCCGCTCATTCAGAGCATGAATGTTTTAGACATCTTTCACACTGAAAACACTAAGTGCAGCCACTGTCCCATGAGGATGGTGCCATGAGAATTCTTTACAGGAGATTTGTCTTTTCTGATGTATCCTGTAATTTACTGCAGTCAACAGAATTTGGATTAAGTTAGTATAGTCAACTACATGGGATTGCAGTCTGCAGGAGAATGGATCAAATCTAATGCCTCAGTATCACGGAGTTTTCATTAATTCTTGAAAAGCATGGAATTTCCAGAAGAAAAAGTAGAGCTCAATACACCTAAAAAGTTCAAAATACTGAACCCAGAGATGTCTAAGATAGAAAATATGCTGTTTCTGCATTAATAACATACAAGAAAATCAGAATCACAACAGTTTCTCTTAAGCTCCTCTAACATGTAACTTTATGTACTTTACAAAATTGAAACTTATGGTTTAAACAATCTTACTTTTTCTACCTGGCCCAGTCTGGGCAAAGGTAGTACACCATTAATATCAGTTTCACCCAAGAAATATTTGAATTTAACAGCAAGCAGACCTGAAAAAACAAACTATATTTGAAATCTTCACTCTATGATCTTCATTGATTATTTCATTGTGTCTCTTAAAGTCCTTTGATGCAAAGCTTTTCAAAGTGTGGCTTATTTGACAATCACCTGGGGAACAATTATAAATGTAGATTCCTGAACCCTTTTACAGACTCAATGAATCCAAATCTCCAGAAGTTGGGCCTAGGAATCTATGTTTATAATAAACCCTGCTGGTGAAAATGAAATCTGAGCAACAATGTTGTTTTAGCTTCTCAAGAGCCAACTAATTTAATCTTTTTTTTTTCTTTCAGGTTTCATTTGGAAATATAATGGTTGTGTACATTTGCTGGGCTTCACAATGTGAGTATAGTTCTTTTACTTTGAATACCATTTAAGGTTTGTGTGATTTGAGTTCCACATACCCTTCTGTACTTGGGAAATAGAAATAGATTGATACAACTAAGAATATTAAGAGAAATAACAACTCAGTCAACACATTAACAATAGTTAATACAGTCTTTAACATGTGCTAGTCTTTAACATACATCATTACAAACACTTCATATATAACTAATTTAATCCTTCCAAAACCCTTGTGAGATATGTATTAATATTATCTCAGTTTTATAGAACAGGAAAGTGAATAACAAAGAAGCTAAGTGATTTCCCTGAGGTCACACAGCGTAGTGGCTGACAAGATTTGATTGAGGCTATCTGGTTCCAGAGTCTATACACTTCACCTCAAAATTTCACTATTTCTCAATCTATTTAAGTGCTTTGTTAGTTTCTATCCTTATCGCCGAGTTCATTGAGTACTTTTCTTTACTAAACAAAACAACTGTTCATCATGTATAATATTTATTAGAACATCCTCTGATTTCATCTGAAAGACTCAAATTCTTCCTTCAAGGTGTTTTACATAGTAATCTGAGACACCTCACTTCCATTATCTTGTCTTACATCAAGGATTTCTGCTCAAATCCCCTTCATCTGTCAGTCAGAGGAACACTCTCAAAAACAAAGCCATGAAAGTAGAATGACCACGAGGCTGTCATCAGTGACTGAGGGGCAGGGACCAGAAGGTAGTTAACAGCAACAAGGAGGGCTGTTGTGCTTGTGCAAGATGAGATGCTATACTTACAAGCTGTGGTGGTTCAGTTTGTGTGTCAACTTGTCTGGGCCTAGTTGAGTGGCTGGGCAGCAGGTGGTAGTTTATTCCCCATGATGAGACTGGCAATCAACTCCATGGTGGGATCTACCACAAGCAGCTGAGGACTGCCTTTGGGAATGTGGTTTGCTTCCTGTACATAAGCAGAAGCCTTGGGGAATGGTCTCTAGCCTATGGCACGCTTGGACCCTGCATGTAGCCGTGTTGTTACTCAGCAGCCTGCTATGCTCTGCTGACCTTGGGACTTACAATGGACTTAAGTTAATGGCCTGCTGTGTGGTTTGGTAACATCAGAACTGTGCCTTTTTACTTGTCAACCTTGGGGCTTCTCAGCCTCAGCAGCCAGCAGTTGTCTGAGTGAACAAACGCCTCTAGCTTCAGCGGGCTGTGAGCAGGAGGCAGAGCTGGACCCCAAGGTTGAGGGGCTTTCACCCAGCCCCTAGAGCCTGGCACTTTGAACTTGGACTTAAAGCCTCCAAATTGTAAGAATAAACTCCTGTTTGTTAAGGCCATCCCATTTGTGGTATATTCTTGTCAGAGCTGCACTAGGTAACCAGAACACAAGTCTAGCAAGAAAAAATAAATATTTGGAAAATGTAGCATGAATGTATCGTTTGATGGTATGCGTGCTCCCAGACTTTGAGCTTTTCTGAGAACTTAGAACAGAGCTATGACCAACCTGCTTCTGGGTGTTCTACAGCAGCTTCTGGGGTCCAGGGTCCGGCCTTCACGTAGCCCCTCTTCTCCAGAGCAAAGACAAACCCTCCATCTCCAATCACCACCTCTCCAGCATTTAAACGTTCTAGAATGCCCTAAAATTATAGGAGTGGGGGTGGAGGGACAAGTTACTTGAGTTCATAAGACAATTTTCCACTTTTAATACTTTTTGCTAACATTTTCTTGAGAAGTATGATTTCTTTTAAATTCTCAGATCAAAATACATACATAATATTTTATACATAAATTCTTGGCTCTTTATAAGGCAAACTACCAGAATGGTCATATAATAAAAATTTGTGTATAGGTAGTGTGGGTGTCTTTGAAACATACTAAAGAATGTTTGAAAAATACTGTGGAAAGATGTTACATTTGATGAAATATCTGCTGAAGGATTAAATTAAAAGACTTTGTTATGAAGCCTGAAATGAATTATGTGAGCACACATTCTTGAAATGGTGAATGCTAGTCTTTGTTCACACTCTATCAATAAACTAAAAAAAAAAGATTACAATTGATAAAGAAGATGAAGTGGCATATAATGTTATTAGGACATTTTGAAGACTAAAAAGTCAGAAGACATTTGGTAAAGAAAAGAAGATACCACCACAAAGGTGGCCAACTCAAAGACTTCTAGCTTTAGTGTTAAAATTCAGTTTCTACAAGCGTAGCCATGAAATACTACTTGGAAAGTTATGAACCTGCACATTCTGCACTCTACTAGTGAGACTACAATAATAGAGTACAGCATTACAATAAAATGTACAGCATTTGGAAAACAATTTCCAGTCTAATCACAATACCAATCATTGACAGTAACCCAAAAAACAAAACCTGTTGCTGTCAAATCAATTCTAACTGGTGTTAATTCATACATTTTTAATTCAATATTTTTAAAGGGCTTTGTGAATTAGATTTTACAGCTCTCGTAGCATAGTGCCTAAGGCACTTGACTGCTAACCAGAAGGCTGGAGGTTCAAACCCATCAGCCCCTCCTCGGAAGGAAGGTTGGGCAATCTACTTCCCTAGTGATACTGCCTCGGAAACCCAAGGAGGGGTTGTTATGAGTTGGGTCTGACTCTATGGCATATAACAACAACAACATTGTGTTCCATTTATTACCAAAATGGCTGACAAAATAAATGCTGATATCTAATAACAAAGGTTACATAAATCTGGGAGAGGTATTGATAGGATTTTGCATCCTAATTCCTGTCCATCTTCTTAGAGTCTCCCTTATTTAAATCCTCTTCCCCTCCACTGCCCCTCCCCATGCCATATGGACAGCTGGTGCTCAGAGAGAAGAAATAACTGACATTTTCACTTTAGAAATGAGAAGATTATGCTAAATCCTCCCTAATAATCCTTCCCAATCCAAAATTTCTCAAGCCTGGGCATCAAGGAGGTAACAAACAACTATTACAAAAATAAAGAATTACAAGTAATTTAGAAATCCAAGTATTTGTCGTGATTATAATGCTTCTAAATGCATTATAGCTCATAAAGCTACAATTTTTTGATCATAATGCCAGAGCAGTTTATATTAATAATATGAACAAGGTTCCAATAAAAGGAGATATGAATTAGTATTATAAAATAGTATGGGTAATATTAGCCATTTTTGTTTATTTGCCTAAAAAACAAACTATCAGAATATACATCAAAATGTAGCAGACTTTATTCTTTGTGCTTTTCCTACTTGTTCCCAATGAACATGTGCTAGTTTTGTAACATATATTTGAATTTTAATCTCAAATATATTTTCCATATTACTGGCCATATGTTAATACTGCCATACATATAAAAACAAGGTTACTGAGGAAACATTTTTCCCCCATTTATGCCCATCTGTTGCTTAAATAATGTAAAGTACACAAAGAATCCATTAATATGTTAAATTTTGTTTGAATTTGGAGTGTGGGTTGGAATTCATGGCTATGAAAATCATGCCAAACCAAAACAAAATTTATTTTTAAGTCTCTGTAAGAATCATTCCAGTCTGCATTGAATACACATTTAGGTTTATGGATCGACAGAAATTCTGAACCTACCTGAATTTGTGACAGTCTGTAATTGTTTACCATCTCACCATTCCTCCTCAGGTCATCAACATACACATTATTAGTGATACACAGCATTTAACAAATTTAGATTAATTAACTTTTTGCTTTGTGTGAAGGTCTTTTTTATTTTGGGGACATCCCTTTAGAAATTGGGCAGACCCTGGCTTCAGGAACTGAGATAGAGACATGGACCTGCTCTCACAGTGGACGGGTACAGTTGGCTAGGCAAGGTCTGCCTCCCTACTATCTCCTGGGGGTTTCTGTTCCTGGGTGATTTGACACTAAAGGGTCAAGTACATATAGTGGTCCCCAGGTTCCTAAGTGTGATTTTAAGTTAAATTTGTAGGTAAGTCAGAACAGGTGTACATGGTTTTCGTCTTACTCATTAGTGTAGAAAAAAGGCTCAAAGCACTTTTAAAGATTTAGAAACTACATGTGCAGCAAATGAAGGTGATTGGGATGAAGAGTTGGATGAAGACTTTGTTGCAAGAAAGGTTGATTCAATCTTCTCAAAGTGAGGGCAAATTTACAAAACATTAAAGGGTAAGTAGGAGTTGTCCAAGGAGCTCTGGTAGCATAGTGCCTAAGGCACTTGACTGCTAACCAGAAGGCTAGTGGTTCAAACCCACCACTCACTCCTTGGAAGGAAGGTTGGGCAATCTACTTCTGTAGTGATACTACCTCGGAAACCCAAGGAGGGGTCGTTATGAGTCGGGTCTGACTCAGTGGCACATAACTACAGGAGTTGTCCATAAATCCTATTTACTGGGGACTTAACTGCATAGTCCTTCCTCTCTTGTCTTTCTCTTCCGACCTCTCCAACCCTCCAACCCTCAGTCAGTACAACCATCCACCCTTCCATCCCCCAAAACTAAATAAAGGCTGATTGTCTGTACTGAGAACACTCACCCCAACAAGTCACTGGGAAAGTGAAGGGATGGGCTTGTTTATCAGGTGCTTTTTTTTTTTAAATCTTATTAACGGCCTTTCCCCAGAATCTCTTAAGATCTCTCTCTTTTGTTCAGAAACAGTAAGCTTTGAGTCAAAACCAAACAACTAAGCCTTTTGCTGGTGGAGTCAATACTGACTTATGGCAACCCCATGTGTTACATAGTGGAACTGCTCCATAGGCTGTCATCTTGGCGGAAGCAGATCGCCAGGCCTTTCTCCTGCTGAGCCACTGAGTGGGTTCCAACCACCAGCCTTTCTGCTAGTAGTTGAACACAAACCGTTCTTGCCACCCAGGGATATGCGCTTGGGGCCAGGGTGGTGCACTGTTCTGTGAATGCTGAAACCAAACTGCAGGTGAGAACGTACCATCACCAAACCAATGCCTCCGCCAGGGCCACAGAGCCCAGCGATAAGTCGGGGAAGGTAGCCCCGCGCTACCGGGTGCAGGTCCAGGCGCGGGTGGGTAACGGTTGGCCACGCGCCGCCCGCGCGGCTCCCTGCTCGCCCACACAGCTCCGAGGAGTGCGTGCGGCGGACGCTGCACACACACCCGAAGACCCGGGGCGCGCTGCCTGCCACCAGCGGCTCCGACCGCAGTGGGAGGGAAATCGCGCTTTTGGGTCTAGGAGCCGAAGCCCTGGGGCCGCGCTTTGGTCTTGGGGTGCGGTACTCCCAGAATGTTGGAAGTTTGGGAAGGTGAGTTCTGGGGGCGCCTTCGAGTCGGCAGTGACCTCGAGGACCCCTTTGGGTCCGGAGGCACAGCCTGTGCTCGGAAGCGGCGACTGAGAGAAAAGACTCTAGACCGCGGAAGGGAGCAGCTGGAAGTGCGCTCTGAAGTGCGCTCGGGATGAGGCGCTCTGGCGTCGTCCAGGAGAAGTTCTGGGAGTGCATTGTGGGAGGACCGGGGTGGGGTGGGGATTACTAGGTCCACAGTCTGGTTCCGAAAGCCCCTGTGCGCTTGCCGAATCTGAGGGTGCGGGGAGTGTAAATCTGGATCCAGGGCCTCCGCCGAGACAGCGCCCTCCAGCCCCTCTGGAGATTTACCTTCTTGGTCCTTTTGCCTCCGACGGGTGCCATATTCGTGGTTACTTGGCACGGGTTGCGGACTGACGTGGCTAGCCTTTCCGATCTGCGGAGCGCGAAGCTGCCCAGAGGCCGAAGCCTTCCGGGCTCGTTTATATTGGCTGCTAGGCGCGGTCCATCCCAGACCTCTGGGGGGGAAACACGCCCACCAGCCTTTTATTCGGCCAACTGTCAGAAGCTAGCCCTGCAAAAGGAGTGATCAAGATTGTTTTCCCAAAGGTGTGGAAACACTGAGAAAAAATGAAAAATATATGAAACTACCACTTGCGCAGGTTTCAAATCTACTGAAATTACTTACTAACCTTGAAGTAGTGGGTATTTTCAAAATGACCTTCCACCCTTAGACCCAAACATGCCTTGCAGTTTCTAATAATGAAGTGGTTCCTAATAAGAGAATAGTTGGAATAATGAACGAACACAGATTTTTAATATTTATATATGAAAATATAGATGTTGTATTTTGGAGAGTTGCTTCAAAATTCAGCATGACACCGACGTATAAAAATTTTAGGCATTAGAAGATCTGGAAGGAAATAGTTCAAAATGTTAACAGTTATCTGCTGATGTGGAATTAGGGCTTGTTTTTATTTTATTCTTTGTGTTTTACTGTATTTTCCAAAAAATATTTTTCAATGAGAAAAAATTGATTTTAAAGGTCATAAAAAAAAGCATTATGTTTTAAAATGTGTAACATGACAGACAGTAAGTAGCCTGGAGAACAACTAAAAAGTCAAAACAGTTCAGAGCCTTTTAAAATGATAAATAAAAACATGTGAGGAAATTGTGGAACATCAGCCTTCATTTCAACCTGTGCACCTCATTATTAAGTTTAAAATGAAGAGAGAAGAAAAAAAAAAAGCAGATAGATGTAAATATTCAAACAATCTAATATTTCACCAGCCCCTCAAATATGGGATCAACAAGAATGAGGCATGAGGTAATGTCATTCCTCACATCGAGATGTTATAGTATTTGAGTGAGTAACAATCCACTGCAATCCAGTCAATTCCAACTCAGTGTTAAGAGCGATTAATTTATGGTATGAACCTGGTGAGTATTGGTGAGATAAACAGGTAACAACTATGTTCTGCTGTGGCCTCTCAGAACAGCTGCAGTTAGGGTCCCAGGCGCCAGGGGGAGGTATCTAGGCTCTGACTGTCAAACACGTCTCAAAGCTGAAGTTTTCCATTTTCAGTTTGTTCAAACTCAGTAAAGCTTAGCTGAAGAATTTTAAACTAGTAGCTTTAAATTTAAAAATGAATTATGAATTTTTAACAGGCAACATGTACACAGGCAAAAAGTTAAAAAGTCTTCCCCCAGCTGCTGTTCATAGTCATTAGGTCCCCTCCCTGGAGATAACCACTATTGTCTGACAAGTATCCTTTCAGAGGAATTCTATGTGTATCTAAGTATAGTCATGTATATGAAAGAAGTTGTATTTAAATTAGGGAATTTTTGTTATTTAACATTTATCCATCTCCAATTTTTTCCAAAATAATTTATAGGCAGCTGTCCAAAGGTGTTTTGTTTTTCCTCAACCTCTTAGTTTATTGTCGTATCCCCACCTTGGATCCTGCGGCATTCTTACATTCCTTGCTGTGTTTGAGCTCATTGTTGCAGTCACTGTGTCAATCCATCTCACTGAGGGTCTTCCTCTCTTTCAGTGAATCTCTACCAAGCATGATGCCTTTCTCCAGGGACTGGTCCCTCCTGATAACATGACTAGAGTACTAGAGACAACGTCTCACCATCCATGGTGCTAAGGAGATTCTGGCTTTACTTCTTCCAAGACAGATTTGTTCATTATTCTGGCATATTTTGAATATATTCAATATCATCACTAACACCATAATTCAAATGTATCAATACTTCTTCCATCTTCCTTATTCATTGTCCAACTTTCACATGCATATGATGCAATTGAAAATAGCACGGCTTGGATCAGGTGCACATTACTTTTCAAAGTGACACCTTTGCTTTTTAATACTTTAAAAAATTTTTTTGCAGCAGATTTGCTTAGTGCAGTATGTCATTTGATTTTTTGACTTCTGCTTCCATGGGCATTGATTGTGGATCCAAGTAAAATGAAAATCCTCGACAATGTCAATATTTTCTCTGTTTATCGTGATATCTTTTATTGATCCAGTTGTGAAGATTTTTGTTTTCTTTATGTTGAAGTGTGATCCATGCTGGAGGCTGTAGTTTTTGATCTTCATCAGTAAATGCTTCAAGTCCTTTTCGCTTTTAGCAAGCAAGGTTGTGTCATTTGTATATTGCAGATTGTTAACAAGTCTTCCTCCAATCTTGATGCCACTTTCTTTTTTATATAGTTCAGTGTCTTGGATTACTTGCTCAGCATATAGATTGAATGAGGATAAGGATACAACCCTGACCTGTACTTTTCCTGATTTAAACCCTGAAGTATCCCCTTGTTCTGTTCGAATGACTGCCTTTTGGTTTATCTATGTACAGTTTCTTCAGGTGCATAACTAAGTGTTCTGGAAATTCCCATTCTTCACGATGTTAGCCATAATTTATTATGATCCACACAGTTGAATGTCTTTGCATAGTCTATAAAATACAGGTAAGATCTTAGTGGTATTCTTTGCTTTCACTCACAATGATCCACATCACGTGAGCAATGATATCACTCATTCCACATTCCATATCCAGAAGATCTGGATCCAGCTTGAATTTCTGGCAGTACCCTATTGCTGTACTGCTGTAATAATTTTTGAATTATCTTTAGCAAAACTTTACTTATGTGTGATATTAATGATATTCTTTTGATAATTTCTGCATTCTCTTGGATCATTTTTCTTTGGAATGGACACAGATATGCATCTCTTCCAGTTGGTTGGCCAGGTAGCTAGCTATCTTCCACATTTCTTGGCTTAAACAAGTGAACACTTCCAGCATTCTATCCTTCTGTTGAAACGTCTCAATTTGTATTCTGTCAACTCCTGGAGCTTTGTTTTTTGCCCATGCCATCAGTACAGCTTGGACTTCTTCCTTTAATACCATTGGTTGTTGATCATATGTTACTTTCTAAAATGGTTGAACATCGACCAGCTCTTTTTTGGTACAATGCCTCTCTCTGTGCATTCCTTCTATTTTGATACTTTTGCATTGAATCATTGAATATTTTACTTATGCTTTCATTGTTAGCTGTGGTCAAATCAGTTCCAACTCTTAATGACCCCATGTACAACAGATTGAAACACTGCCCTATTCTGTGCCATCATCACAATTGTTATGCTTAAGCCTATTGTTGCAGCCACTGCGTCAGTCCATCTCCTTGAGGGTGCCCTCTTTTTCACTGACCCTCTACCTTACCAGGGAGCTCTGGTAGTGTAGTGCCTCAGGCACTTGACTGCTAACCAGAAGGCTGGCAGTTCAAACCCACCAGCCACTCCTCGGAAGGAAGGTTGGGCAATCTACTTCTGTAGTGATACCACCTTGGAAACCTAAGGAGGGGTCACTATGAGTTGGGTCCGACTCGACGGCACATAACAACAACAACAACAACAACTACCTTACCAAGCATGATGTCCTTCTCCAGGGTCTGGTCCCTCCTGATAACATGACCAAAGTACTAGAGATGAAGTCTTGCTTCCACTGCTATTCATAGTTTTCAGTGGCCAGTTGTTTCCTAGGTAAACCACCAGGTCCTTCTTCCTGGTCTATCAGTCTGGAAGCTCTGCTGAAAATTGCCCAGCATGAGTGACCCTGCTGGTATTTGAAATACCAGTTGCATAGCTTCCAGTAGCACAGCAACACACAAGCTACCACAGTAGGACTAACTGACACATGAGTGGTGGATTTTGCCCATAGAATCCTTCAATATTGCAATTTGATTTGAGGCTTGAATTTTTCTTCAGTGCTTTCAGCTTGAGAAATACTAAGCATGTTCTTCCTTTTTGGTTTTCTAACTCCAGGTCTTGGCACATTTCATTATATTTGTCTTCTCGAGCTGCCCTTTGAAATTTTTTGTTCAGCTCTTTTATTTCATTTCTTCTGTTTGCTTTTTCTACTGTGTTCAAGAGCAAGTGTCAGAGTCTCTTCTGACATCTGTTTTGCTCTTTTCTTTCATTTCTGTCCTTTAAATGACCTTTTGCTTCCTCAAGGAGCTCAGTGGCCAACACATTTGGCTGCTAACTAAAAGGTTGGTGGTTCAAACTCACTAGCCACTCCATGGGAGAAATATGAGGCAGTCTGCTTCTGTGAAGATTCACAGCCTTGGAAACCCTATGTTCTACTCTGTCCTATAGGGTTGCTGTGAGTCAGAATTGACTCAATGGCAGTGGGTGGATAGGTTTTGATTCCTTCACGTATGATGTCATCCTGCAACTCATTTGGTCCTTGGTCATTAGTGTTTGATGCATCAATTATTATTATTTCTATAGTAGATTATAATATCCACAGTTCACTAAATATTTACAGGGAATCCCCAGGTTACTAATGCATAAATTACAGACAACCTGTAGTTCTGAACCAGCCCTCATAATGCCTATTACATTAAAAATTCACAGAGCATACAATGGTTCACAATAATAAATGGATGCTACTTTGTGACATGCATCAAAACATTATTATTGTTATTACTCCATCATTATGTTAAAGGTGTTTTAGTGTATCTGGAATTGTTTAACGTTTTTTATGCATAGGAAGTTGTTGTTGTTGTTGTTGTTATGTGCCGTCGAGTAGTTTCCGACTCATACCGACCCCACGCGCAGCAGAACGAAACACTGCCCGATCTTGCACCAGCTCCATGATCCCTGCTATACTTGAGCCCATCATCGCAGCCACCATGTCAATCCATCTCATTGAAGGCCTCCCCTTCTTTCATCGACCCTCCACCCTACCAAGCATGACATCCTTTTCCAGGGAATGGTCCCTTCTGACAACATGACCGAAGTAGGTGAGAC